TTCATTTAAAGTTCAATTCAAATTGGTCCCATAAACAGTCTGCCACACAAAGATACCTCCTATAAAGGGGAGTTACTTACCTATAAGTACGCTTCTCTGAAGGTAGTATTATCTTTGGCTGCACATTCCCAGGTCATGTGCCCTCAGGGCCGTGGCACAGGGAAGAGGACTCGTCCCCCACGGGCAGGTCTTTCTCTCCTTGGGGCTCCTCAATCGCTCTGTGGCCTGGATTCCCCGGGGAGTTCCTTGTGCCACACCCCTTTGCCCAGCCAATCCCGCTCTGAGATCCCCAGGCCCCAAGTCTAGTAGTAGGGTTGCAGGTCTACCAACTGGCAGTGGAAGGACTGGTTATCAACAACATCCTGGAAGCAGGAAGCAGGGTGTCCATCGATGCAGTTACCTGTGGAGTGATGGGCTGGGTTCTTCTTGCAACGTAGAATGTGAAATTTACAATCTATATGTGTCTAGGCTTTAAATGAATAACATTTTTATGGAGGAAATAATTCGTCTCTTTATGGAAGAACTAGAAAATGTAAACAAAAAGGATAAAAATCACACGTATTCCCACAAGTAGTCTCACCACCCACTGATGGCCACAACCGGAATCTAGTGTCTGTTTTTACAGATTTTCTACTTAGAAACCCTCTGAAGATGACAAGAAAATCGCCAGTCTTGTCACGTCCCCTTCCCATTCCAGCCAGAGGTCCTACCACAGGGTGCCTGCCCTATTTTCCCGGAAGCCTCCACCTTAACCCATCTGAAGAATGTTACTTGCTGGGATGGGTTTCTCGCACAGCGATTAAGATACTGCTTGAGACACAGGTACCCTGCAGTGGAGTGTCTTGTTTGAGTCCTGTCTCTTCCGCTTCTGATTCAGCGTCCTGCTAACGTGCATCCTGGGAGGCAGCAAATGACAGCTGAAGTACTTGTCCCTGCCACTCGTGCTGGGGACCCAGATGGAGTTCTTGGCTCCTGGTTTCCACCCGGCCCAGCCCTGGCTGTTGCAGGCATTTGGGAAGTGAGCCAGCAGGTGGAAGATTGCTCTCTCTCACTCACTCTCTCTCTCAAATAAAATAAATGTAAAAAAAAATCAAGGCATGCTATTTGCTGTCTTCTCTAAAGTGGAGTGATCCCTAGAGTTGCAGGTGCTAAGCCTTCGGGCTGCACTCGCCTGTCATCAGCAGAACATTTGAGCAAGTTCTCCGGCTGCTTTAGCTCCAACGCACCTGTAATTCCCGCTTTCTGAAGTCAGTTTTCACAGACACCACAGCAAGGCAGAGCGGAAGGCGCTGTCGCGAGGCAGGCTCCTCATACGGGCCTCCTCATTCCCGGGGCGCGCGGAGTGATTGACAGGTTTGGGAAGTGTCTCAGCTGCCTGGCTGGCCCCACATTTGAGCTTCAGAACCTTGGCCGGTGGAGAACGGAAGGGAACTCGGCAGGTCCAGAGGCTTCCATAACCTGTGAGGACAGGATTAGCGCCCAGGTCTTTGCGACTCCTTAACACGATGCTTCCCATTTTTAATTGTTGCCCTTAATTGTCACTTAGGACTTGGGCATGGAGGGCATTGGTGCATTTTCAGTGTTTCTCCTGGAAGACACATCGTTTCCAAAGGTAAATCTTTGGAAAGCTTTTTGGTTAGAAATTCAAAGCTTCATAGACCAGTTTACTTTGAGCTTCCTTAATTATTCACCATCTGGAGAAGGCTATTTACATACAGCAAACATTTTGCTTCCAGACAGCTTCAAATAGTCTACCTTGTAGAGGACCCTCTACTTAAAAGTCAAAATAACGGACCGGTGTTGTGGTGCAGCAGGTTAAGCTGCTGCTTGCCAACAGTAGCATCCCATGTTAGAGAATGGTTAGAGACCTGGCTGCTCCGCTTCTGATCCAGCTCCCTGCTAATGCTCCTGGGAAAGCAGTGAGGATGGCCCAATGCTTGGGTCTCTGTCACCCATGTGGGAGACACAGATGGAGCTCCTGGCTCCGGCCTGACCTGGCCTGGCCATTGTGGCCATTTGGGGAGTGAACTACAGGAAGGACGATCTCTTTCCCTCTTTTGCTCCCTCTCTCTCTGACATTCTGCCTTTCAAATGAATAAAAATAAATCTTTTTTATATAAGTTGAAACAAGCTCTTGAGAATGAATTCCCCCCCCCCAATCTGTGGTTACGAAAATGCCCACAGAGGAAATTGATTCAACATCACATCTGGGAGCAGCACAGTTAGGGCCCCGCCGAGCCCTTCCCTCTTCTTTGCCTCTTAGCCAGACACAGGCTCACACACACATGCAGTGAGGATGGCGACTCAGGTGTGGTATGGCGTGTGGCAGTAACTTGGACTTTGAGGAACAATTTAACATCATTTTAAAATCTGAAGTCATCAAGTGCACGAAGGATTGAGCAGCCTACAGTTCCCATGAGCTAAAGCTCGGCAGAGCCCGATGGCAGCGCCTAACAGGGCATCTTTCTGCACGTGTGGTCTGTTCTTCCATGAAGGAAATTCCTGAAGACTCAGCATGTGCCCTGGAACACGCGGGTGTCCCCAGGGCCTCATCCCCCGTGGGAACCTCCAAGGGCAGTTTGACTCTAGCAAGGCCAAACCCAGAGATGTATGACACGGATGTGGTGGGCTCTCTGTGCTCGGCCGTCCTCCAGAGCATCCCCACCTTCTCGTCTAGCTGGGCCTTCTCAGTGGCCTGCGACCACCTGCTCTTCCTGCCCCTGGTTAAAGCCACCTCTCTGGAATCCGGCTGGTCAGGTGGTCACACCGACATGCACTGGACTGACGGTGTTACGTGTTCACTCTCGGGACCAATTTCTGTTGACTGGGAGAAATTCTGCAGATGGTATTTAGGGGCCATGAAAATGTTCCCAATGACCATCAAATGATGGGATGCAGCTCAAGGTTCTCTGTGGTTGTGGACATTTTAGTGGAAGAATAGCTGGATGCCGTGTGGGAGAGCTGGGGACTGTTCCCAGTTGACGTGACAACTCATTCTTTCGGGGAAATGGCTTACTTACCTGCAAAGGGGATAACAAGAAATGAATGGGCCAGCATGTGTGCAAGCACTTGGAATGGTGCTGACATTAAGGACGTGCTCAGTTCAGGTTAGAAAGATTCTCGATTCTCCTCCTTGTCTTCCTCCTCCCATTCTTCCCGGGAGAGGAACCTTGGGACAGAAGAAAGCACATGGGCTCGGGAGTCCAGTGATCCTGGCCTCGGCTCTGGACTCTGGCACTTGCCAGCTCTGTGACTGTGAGTGTTCACCTCTCTGAACTTTGACTTCCTTTTGTAGAAAATAAGGATAATAAAAGTCTCTCTAACTGCTGTAAACACAGAGTGCGATAACGTATGTGTTATGTTTATCAAGATGTTCTGTGCCTGACAGACACACATTAGTGGACTTTTATTAATACTAATAAAGGTAAAAGGCATGAAAACATTTAAATTCTACAGAACAATTTTCTAAATATTAAATTGCCTCTTACTGTCACTTAACTAAATATGAATGTTAGCTTGTTTGAATTTAAATAGAGTTTCCAGGTTTATGAACCATAAATATAATTTCTTTTATGCAAACATTTTCCTACTATCTAAAACAAATAAAAACACAATAGAAAAGACAGAGGAGACATCCCAGTGATGTTCTAAGGAGATGCTAGTGAGTGGATTGTTGCTATAAAAATGCATTTCATACTCGGAAAATATGCAATACATGCTAATAAGATTTAATGAATTTAATAGCTAGAAAAAAGAAAATACAGAAATCCTACTATTGGGTAAAATTATGGAGGTAAGTCTTTGAGTTTCTATTTATCTGAAAATATAGACAACTGAAATTTTTTTCTCAGCATCTTTTAAGTCCTATTACTAATTTGAAAAAGTTTACGATAATATTGTTATAAAATATTAGATAGTTGCCTTTACATCAGAAAAAATGAATCCTCTATATTCCATACTAAAATAATAACATACAATCTACTTTGCAATGATAGCTCAGAATATGCTTCTTTAAAAGTTGTTTTAACTTTTAAAAATTGTTCTAGTCCTATCCATCATACTCTCCAGTTTTGCTTCTTTTCTTCCTCCATGGAGTCAGTTCGCAAACGCTTTATATTAATCCCCTTCTAAAATTTTTTCCAGGGTCTGTGGTTGAAACTGAGAGTATAGTCTTTTGTTTTTGTATTCAGTTCTATTGCCAGTTTTTTTCCTCTAGTTTATTGCTACAACCAACTGATGAGCTTCTCTAAATCTAGATGGTTCCATGAGCCTGGCATTTAAGGGTCTACACAACTAGATGGTTAAACTTCCCCATTTTTCTGGGGAAATTCAGGTTCAGGGAAGCTTGAACAGTTGAGCATGGTCACACACATCTGTGACTGCACAGCGAGGCCCCGTCATTAAGTCATGCTACTTTTCAAACCTAAATATGGCATATAATCCCTCAAGTTTTCCTAAAATGAATTTCCCTATTGCATACATGTAACACGTTCCTTAAATCCTCTTAAGACAAGTGCAGATTCTACTGTTATCAAGCAGCTCTCCTGGAATCCCAGTCTGATTCCGTTTCTTTCCACTTGCTACAGTCATGGCACATAACATTGTCTGCTTTACATTAGGGTTATTTACATCTGTCTGTCTTGGATGCCAGGAACCATGTCTTATCTGTCTTATTTAATCATCCTTCCCTTTTATCCTAAAACATTCAGTGTTTCTCATACTACATAAATCGAATTCAAATTCCATTTTAAAGAGAATAAAGTGAGATTCCATGATTTTGTAAGAAATTAAAGTGTTTTTTTCTCAGTTCTAATGGCAATTATTAACTAGCTGTTACTGTATAGAATAATTTTTCTCAAAAAGAAAAATATTTCTCAATAAGACAAAATAATAGATAAGGAACATTTATGCCAAGTGTACTCATTACTTATCACTTAAATATTTGCCAGAATCCCACTGTCTAGCACGGTAGTTAATGCAAATGTCAACTCCCACTTCAGGTCATGGAGAAGTAAGATCCGCCTGATCCACCTTTCCGCAGATATTGGCTATAGATTCTGGAATGTGCAATAACGAATTGAAGGCACTGGAAAGACATAAAAGCAAGTGGGTCCTGGAAAGGCCAGATACTTGGAAGGAGAGGGCTGCTGGGGTGAGTTTATCATTGTTTTTCACTTTTTGTCCTAAGACTGGGTCACAGCCAGCACTGTGAAGAGAGACTGAAAATTGAACAGAAACCTCGTCTTAGATGGGAAAGAGTTTGGGTCAATTGCAACTGCTAGAAAAATAAAGAGGAATGTTGGAAAGGAGAGAGGCAGAGAAGACTCTACATATACACAAGGCTGTAGTCCCTGGATGACACTGGAACTATGCAAGTGTGGGACAGACTCCTTGGAGGCCCCGAAGGCTGCAAACAGAACTCAGATGTGCGCTGCCTCCTATTTCTGGGGAGACTGACTTGTGCTTCAGGCTCAGCCAAGTTAACTGCCTACTTTTTTCATAAATCAATATTCTTTAGGGAACATAATAAAATGCAGAGTTTCTATAATATATTGTTCACAATTTCCAGAATAAAATCCAAAATTACTTGTGATATAAAGAAACAGGGAAACATGAACCATTTTCAAGAAAGAAAATTCAATAGAAAAGAATCCCAAAATGACCCCAATGTTGGAATAAAAAGATAAAATTTTTTTAAAGATGTATCTATTTATTTGAAAGGCAGAGTGACAGAGAGAGAGGTGGGGAGAGACAGAGATCTTCCATTCACTGGGTCACTTTCCAAATGACTGCAACAGCCAGGGCCGAGCCAAGCCAAAGCTAAGAGCCAGGAACTCCATCTGGATCTCCTTCATGGGTGGCAGGGACCCAAGCACTACCATTTTCTGCTGTTTTCCCAGGCATATTAGCAAGGAGCTGGATGGGAAGTGGAGCAGTTCAGACATGAACTGGTGCCCATCTGAGATGCTGGCATTGCAGGTAGTGGCTTAACCTGCTATACCACAATGCCAGCCCCAAGAATTTCAAAATAGTTATGTGTAAGCAGGAAAGGGAAATACAATAATGAAAAGGTAAGAAACCTCAAAAAAGAACTAAATGAAAATTATAGAACAGATGAATAAAATAAAAATTTCAATAGATAGCTTGAAATTAGAATGTATTTGACAGCAGGAAGAATCTCAGAACTTGAAAATAGGCAAATAAAAACCATATAATTTGAAGAACAGAGGAAATATTACCTTAAAAAATGACCAGCACCTCAGTAGCCCATAAGTAAATAACAAGAGATCTAATACTGGAGTAAAGTAATAAGAGAATGAGCTAGAAAAACATTTGAAGAAACAGTGACTGAAAATCTCCTAAATTTTGTAAAGACATAAATTTTACAGTTCGAGAAATTCAGTGAACTTTAAGCAAATTATTTAAAACACGACTAGCACATGTAGAAACATTACAGTCAAACTACTGAAAAAACAAGAACAATCTTGCAAGAAGCCACAGGGAAATGATACAGTTCATACTGAGAGCAGTGACCCAAAGGAGCTGTAGCAGAAACAACAGAGACCAAAAGACAGTGGCAGAACAGCTGTACAGGGATGAAAGAAGCAGCCTCTATCCAGAAGAAGATGCTTCAAGAATGAAGGTGATTCCACTTCCGAGGAGATGATAAGCCAGGAAGAGGGGCCAGTGTTGAGATGCAGCCGGTCAAGTCGCTCTTGTGATGCATATCAGAGTTCCAGTTCAAGTCCTGGCTGCTCCTCTTGATCCAGCTTCCTGCTAATGCACCTGGAAAGGCAGGGGAAGATGGCCCAAGGGCTTGGACCCTGCCAAACATGTGAGCAACCTGGATGCACTCCTGGCTCCCAGTGACAGCCTGGCCCACACCTGGTAGTTCTGGGCATTTGGGGAGTGAAGTGGCAAATGGAAGATCTCTCTCTCTCTCTCTCTCTGACTTTGCAATAAATAAGTAAGTTTTTCCGATGAGAAAGCTATAAAGAGCATTGTTCATAATTGTGTGTAAATGGCAAAATTATAGCTCTCCTTGAACCCACAGGACAATAATGCACAGGGAAAACCCGCAGCTGCAGACCAGGGAGAACGGGCTCCTTCAGGGGCAGATGAGGCGGGAGCACTGGCTCGCCCGAGGAAAGCGGGGAGCGGAGAAGGAATGAGGAAAAGAGAAAACGTCTGGAAAGCTGTTAACTTAAATTTGATCATGCCCATAATTACATTAAATATAAATGCTCTGGCTACAACAGTTAGAAGAGATTGGCAGGATAAAAAAGCAAGGTCTACAAATGGATGTTTAGAAGAAACAAATTTTAAATGTAAATGCATAGATACATGTAAATGCATAGTCCACAGTGGCATGAAGGAACTTGAGTTGATGGCAATATTGTAGATAGTAATTTTGATAGTGTTTACATGACTATTTGTATTTGTCAAATCTCATAGTGAACACATTATAAGGGTGAATTTGGTTTGCATATAAATTAGATTCTATGTAAATTACACCTCAATAACTCTGACTTAAAAAAAGAATGAAGGCAAAATATATTTATCAAGTAAAAGAAAACTAAGAAAATATATCGCAGCAAACCTACAAGACAAGCCAAAGAAGATTCTTTAGAAAGACAGTAAGTGAAAGCAGATGTAAACTCAGATATATAGGATGGAATGGAGATCATGAGAAATATTAAATACGTGGATAAAGGTAAACATCCATTTTCCCACTTTATTCCATTAAAATCATTTGAATTAAAGCAAAAAATATAATTCACTGTGAGACTTACAACATATGTAGATGTAGGACACATAACAATACAAGGCTTGGGTCCTGTACAGTTCCAAGGTTTCTAATTTTACGCAAACTGTTAAAATAACTAACTTTAATAGTCCATGAAAACTTGAAGATAGATACTGCAAGCCCTCGAGTTACCATAACAATAAGACTGAGAGGTAAAGATAAAAAGCCAAAATGTAAAGTAGAAAGAAATTCTAGAAAGGACCTGCAAGTGAGCTTGGGAAGTGGACATTGCCATTGGTGTGGGCAGGCCGTGAGCAGGTCTGTGTGGCTGGTTTGGTTGGGTAGGCAGAGAATATGTGTACAATTCCAAGACCATAGAACAGATCCTGCTCTTCCTAACTGGAATTAAATAACAATTAAACTTGCCTAAAGTTCAAAGATACAAAGCAATCTGAATAATTTTAGACAAAACAGTGAGGGGAAGATTGTGTGTAGTGGATCATTTAGGATGTCCTCAGTTTAGCAAATACACGGCTTCTAAGTGTCTATTTCTAAGAAGTATAGCAAATCTAAAAAGATTATTCATTAGTGACCATATTCTGACTGGGATTAGATAATGCTATGGAAGATGATGCTATGTTGCAACACAAACCAAACACAATAAATAACAACACTAAAAGAGAAATGATCCCCCTTGCTTTGAAGGATGGAAACTTTGGAGCAGATTCTTCTGGCCACATGCAAAGTGAGACGCTAATTCTTTAATTTTTTCACTTTAGACTTACAGTTCTTTTTTTTTTTTTTCTGCAAAAGCACATCATCACCTTGTGCTTGGCAGTTACGATTACTGTGTGGGGCTCAGTGTTTCGTGGGTCACAAAAGAGATGAGAAGAACACACTGAAGTTACTTAGCTACAAATGGAGAAGAGGCTTCGGGGTGTTGTGCCTGTTCTTTGCACCTGCATCTATGTGTAAGTGGCTGGCTGACCACGGAAATGCCACACTCTGGACAAGAAGAATCAAAGAAGAGGCAGAGAGCTCTTTTTAGGTTCTATCTAGACCAAGAAGAAAGTGTGTTGGGTCAATTCCCAAGAGTACCACCAGGAGGCCGCCTACAGGACCACCACTCACTGGGACAGCTCTGTCGTTCAGAATAAATTGAAGACATGGTGGGGATGGAAAGGAGGGAACCACTGATGGACAACAGTTTGTCTGTAAGTCAGATTTAATTGAAGATGTTTTACAATACAGGAGGTATCCCTACAGGCTAGGTTGGTTTCATAAAACTAAACAAACAATATGAATGGGTAGAAAGTTGGTGGCAATAATAAGAGCAGAGGCATGAAAGCTGAAATGGGAAGCACTGGATAAATGAGGGGAAAATATCAGACTTGATAGTTAGTACTGTCCCTTATCCTCTCCTCATTGCCTTTCTTCAGATACTAATCACTGGCTCCGTAACAGCCCGCTACCCAGGAGCCTTTCATGTTGGTTCAAAAACCTCCAAATCATCTTTCATGTTCACAGACTGAAACACTAATCTCCCTGAGCACTTGCTTCCCTGTGTCACCTCTGGATCAGAATCCTGTAATTCAAGTTATTCTATCAGGTCAGAACTTACTGTCTGCCTTGGGGGAGGCTCCGTCAGTCTAGCCCAAGTTGGTTTCTTAAGTCTTTCCTAACCCATCGCATTCCTGCCACTCTGCATTTGTTCACATGATACCCCTAATCCACCTTCCCCGTTCCTGTTCATCCCATGCAATGCCATCTGCATGTCGGCCATCTTTCTAGCCTCTTCACAACCATCGGCTCAGCACCTGCTACACAACAAGCAGTGTCATGCGGGAGCTCACAACCTTGGAGGAGACCAACCTGATACAACCTTAGCTGTGCTCTGCGGCAACCACTATGAAGGCAGAGGAGGAACACGTGAACTGCAGGAGTCAGGAAGTGCGTAACTCAGGAAGCAATATATGGAGGATGCAAATAGCGCCACAGATGGGGCAGGTGCTGCGGTGCAGTGCGGCTTGGGGGTGTCTGTGTCCCACATGGGAGTGCTGATTTGAGTCTAGGCTATTCTGCTTCTAGTCCAGCTTCCTGCTGATGTGCCTGGAAGGCAGTGAATGATGGTCAAGTACTTGGGTCCTTGTCAGCCACGTGGGAGACTCAGATGGAGCTCTTGGCTTCTGGCTTCCCTCTGGTTCAGCCTTGGTTGTTGTGGGCATTTGGGGGGGAGTGAATCAGTGGATGGAAGACTGCTGTGTGTGTGTGTGTGTGTGTGTGTGAGATTCTGCCTTTCAAATAATAAATAAGCCATAAAAATAGTTCAGCAGGTATAAAATAGAAAGGCCTTTTAAGCAAAGGAAAGAGCGAGTGCTAGATTCCATCTACCTTGCTTTCCCACCTTAGGACTTCCACAATTCAGTTTATATCAGAATCTCGTCAGTTTGGTAATTATGGTGTAGAATCTTTCATGATGTCTCGGACTAAAACCCTCTGGAAGGGCCAGTCCTTAGCTCCTCAGATCTTCGCATGGCGCTGAGTGCGGCACACACAGCGGAAGGGCGTGAAGATACTGACAGCTGAATCTGCCGATCTCTCACCATTCATACGCTCCTTTGTTTTTACAAGTGAGAGAAGGAAACACAGGTTTATTAGCCACCAGCTACATGCCAGGCTCTGTGTTACGATGGTTCCTTCATTAAGAGATTAATCAGGCGGTGGGGTGTTTTGGAAGACGAAGGCCTTCAGAAAAGGGAGACCAACAAGGACTTCAATGAGGAAACCAGGTAGACGGCACAGGATGCCTCTGCGGCCCACTCGCTAGGTACTGAGAGGAGGCGGGAGAAGAGACATCATGCTGAAGCCTCGCTCTTCTCCTGAGCTCCCACCAGACACGCAGGCCCACGAGGCAGTGATGATGTCTCCAGTCTGTCGTCTGCCCTGCGCTGGGATGTATCGGGGCACTCCTCTTAAAAGCAGCAGTGTGGGATGCCGAGGGCAGCATGAGCTTCGGAGCCCAGTGAAACTCCCCGACCTTGATTCTGCACGTTCTTTGCTGTGTGATCACAGGCAACTTCCTTCAATTCTTTTGTTGCTAAGATTTTTTTCAAAGGTTTATTTATCTATTTATTTATTTGAGAGGTAGAGTTACAGACAGAGAGGGGGAGAGACAGAGGGACAGATCTTCTTTCCATTGGTTCACTTCCCAAATGGCAATGGCTGGAGCTTCTAAATGACTGGGCCGATCTAAAGCCAGGAGCCAGGAGCTTCTTCTGGATCTCACTCACAGGTGCAGGGGCCTAAGCACTTGGGCCATCTTCTACTGCTTTCCCAGGCCATGGCAGAGAGCTGGATTGGAAGAGGAGCAGCAGGGACTAGAACTGGCACCCATATGGGATGCTGGTGCCACAGCATCTGTAAAATGAATGCTACTATGGCACAGCGCTGGCCCCCTTTAAGATTTTATTTATTTGAAACACAGAGTTACAGACAGAAAGAGAGAAAGACAGAGAGAGAGGTCTTCCATCCACTGTTACTCCCCAAATCTCCACAACGGCCAGAGCTGGACCACCAGGCCATCAGCAGGGAGCTGGATTGGAAGAGGAGCAGCAGGACTCGAACCGGCGCCTGTATGAGAAGTCAGTGCTACAGGAGAAGGCCTAGCCTGCTCTGCCACAACACCAGCCCCTCTTCAACTCTGGGAGTCTTCATTTCCTTATCTGTAAAATGGATGCGGTAAAAACTACTTCAAAGGGTCCTATAAGAGAGTCAGTGCAAAATAACTAGCAGACATGTTCCATAAGCCTCCTCTTGTGCCCCCCCTCATCTCTCCCTAGGGACCACCTATTACACCTGAGGAATAACCAATAAAGAAAACGTGACTTTCTCTGGCAACATCCTTTATAACACAAATTTTGTTTCCTCAAATGTCAATTCTTGTTGATGTCATAGTATTAGTTGTTCAATATATTCTTGGAAGACTAATATTGTTTATAGATGTTTCAGTCTTCAAACTTAAAGAATAAATCCAGATAGAGAAATTACTGTTCCATTAGTCATGAAAGATATCAACACAATTTCTAAAATTCAGAAATCTCTGGTTTTGATTTTTTTTGTCCAAATCACTAGAGCTCTTTTTCCTTCAATGCTAAAAAAGAGGCATTTTGTACAGAGGGAAATTAATTATTCTCTTTCTCAGTTTCAGCAAGAAGTACATTTATTATATGCCCAACAAAGTTGTATTCACTTTTCCCAACAGAGAAATGTGTATTTAAGGGGTTTCATTATATTTGGAGAGATTTTTCATCAATCAGAGATTTAACGGCCACCAAAAAGATCTCCACAATTAATCTTTTATAACATGGGTGTGACTTATAATCTCTACACTAAAAGAATTATTAAATATAAGGAAAAACTATTCATAAGCGATTATGTTCCTCGGGAAAGAAAAACCGCTTTGTGTTTTTAAAGATATGGTTGAGAATTTAAATGAAACATACATGCCTGAAATTAGTGCCAGATGCAACACAATCCAGGCACGACTCACAACTGCACCAGGTATTTCACTGCGATGTACTAAAAGGTATTCAACAATTCTATAGAACGCTCACAAACACAAGTATTTCATTCACAAAATGCATGGCTTGGCAGGTTTCCAGGGCAGGCATTTGCTAGAAGGAAGGTGAATTTGATTAGAATAAATCACATGACTGACATTCCTCCCACAAAACGGCCAAAACAGAAATACTCAGAAACTGAAGACCTCTCCACTGGAGCCAGAAGGAAAGTCTGGGCTATTCTTTACATGCATCATGGGAATCCAATAATGTCATCCAGCGAACAGGTATTTGAGCATTCTCAGTTTAATTTCCAAATATTTATTTTAAGAATACCAAATTTTAAAATACTAATTTTTGCAGTAGGACTTTCCAAAAATTTTGACATGAGTTTTTAATTCATTAGAGTACTTACAATTATATTCTCCCCCTAGCCCTTGCACATTTCTAGGCACTAAAGAATGTAGCGAGTATTCTTTAATGGAGCATACATAGAAACAGTAGTGATAGTTCTTAAGGATGCCAGTGGTCCTTCCTACTCCATACCTCAGTTCCTCCTCTTCTGCCCTTTCTTTCTCCATTCTGTTCACACTTTCACCATCAGCAATTGTTATGGACTGAATGGTTATAGACCTCCAACTTTCATATGGTGAAGTCAGAACCCACAGTGAGGGTGTATTTGGAGCTGGGCCTCTAAGGAAGTACATTAGGTTAAAAAAAAAAGTCAAAAGGGTGGGGCCCTATCCAATAGGATTAGTGTCCTCTTAAGAAGAGATGTCAGAGGGGCTGGTGCCATGGTGCGGTAGGTTAATCCTCTGCCCGGGGTGCTGGCATCCCATATGGACGCTGGTTTGAGTCCCGGCCATTCCACTTCCAATCCAGATCTCTGCTATGGCCTGGGAAAGCAGTAGAAGATGGCCCAAGTCCTGCATCCACATGGGAGACCTGGAAGAAACTCCTGGCTCCTGGCTTCAGATTGGTGCATCTCCGGCCGTTGCAGCCATTTGGGGAGTGAACCAACGGAAGGAAGACCTTTCTCTCTGTCTCTGCCTCTGTCTGTAACTCTACCTAATAAATAAATAAAATCTTAAAAAAAAAAAAAAACGAGAGAGAGAGAGGGAGAGAGAGAGATGCCAGGGAGCTCCTGCAACCTGTACACATGAAGAAGTCATGCTTCTGCGGGGAGGTGGGTAGCATTAGAGAAAGGAGCTGAGGTTCTGCAGTCCGCGCTGCCGTGTGCAGCAGCTCCAGCCACGGCTTGACAGCCAACTCACGGTTCCATAGCTTTGGTCAACCTGCTGCATGACAGCCCCAGGCGCAGGCGACCTGTGCATTGGTCCTGTCTGGCACAAGCAGCTGTGGCCACGCCAGCCCACATGGCAGCCTGGCTTGGCTGCATGACTGCTGGGTCTGTACCACGCAGATTCCCTCTCTGTGCCCCCTCGCAGGCGGCCTTGCATGTAGCACCGAGCCCCCTCCCATTTCCATGTAGCAACACCGCAAGTTCCATAAGGTTGCACATGTAGAACTCACTCCAGCTGGAAATGACCAGTACAGCTGCAGGATGTGTCCCTGCAATGCGCTGTAGGTCATTCCAGTGTCAGCAATAAGACCCTCATGGCCGCCTCTCCCACTCCCCATCCTACACCTGGTGCCTGGCACTTCCCGCCATTTCCGAAAAGGGACCGGACTTGAGTGGTACCAAAGCCCCACCCCAAAGTCTGCTTTTTAAAAATTCAATGAAGCCCCACCCCAAATATGTGTGGCTGCTGCGGCAGCGGTGGGGCGCACCACTACACCCCCATAAAAGGGCAGGGGATAACTTGTTCAGAGTTTTTGTATTTTGTGTTCTTGTTTGTTCATTCTCTCTCCCTCCTTGTCTCTCTCTTTCCCAACTTGTTGGGGGTCTTTGTGTTTTGGCTTTTTGTTCTCTTTCTCTGTGAAGCTTTCCTGCATGCAATCCTCCAATGTGCACTTGTGCTTTGCTGCTGCCCTCTGCATACCTATACGCCTCCACCTTGAATTCTTCCACTTGTGGAGGGCAGAGCCTGGAGTAGCCCAGCCCAGGGCCCGAGACCCACAACGGTTTGAACACACAGCGAGGTGGCAGCTACCAGGGGAGATCTTGGAATGAACCTCCCTTGCAGTCAATTTGTTGTTTAATTCACAGTCTGAGGTGTCTCGTCTGGCAGCCCAACTACACTAATTTTACAGCACCTAGGAGGCCCAATGCTTGTTGCTTCCACACACTCTTCCCTTAAAGATTTGGATCCAAGGAAACCTATGGAGAAGCTGGACAGATCTGACCAGAGTTCAGACAGTCCCTTAGGTCATTCAGCTTTGCTTCCGTGACCAGGTTTGTAGGATTTAGGCATGAAGGGGGCGCAGGGACATCACCACTTCCATCAGCGCCGCCTGAGCAGCGCTGTTGGTCTCTGAGCCTCTACTGGTTCAGGGTGCTATTCCACTCGTGAGTCCTCTTCTCAAATAAACGCTGCTAAATTTTATTTTTTTGAGGTTTTACTTTCACAAGTGGCAGGGCACTGTTCCAGAAAGCGGACGCGCTGCCGAAGAAGGACCATCCCACGGCGGGACAACTTGGGGACCCCAGCGCCAGGCGAGCACCTGCGGGGCCTGGGACCGAGCCGGCGCTCCGGAAATGGGCGCAGAGAGAAAACAAGGAGGCCGGGGGGAAGATGGATGAGAAGGAGCCCAAGGGCCCGGAGAGCGTCCGCAGCGACGGACGGAGTCGGCACTTTCCTCCCTCGGCCGCACCGCAGGGACTGAAGAGAACAAAGCCTTCAAAAGCCTTCGGAAGCACCAGATAAACGGTGCGAGGAAGGGAGGAGGAGGAGGAGGCAGAAGAAAGAAACCACTTCTTCTGGTCCCACTGGAAAGCCAGGCCGGGGGAGGCCGGTTGCCATGGCGACCCTGGGGCCAGAGCGGCCGCCGCCCATTGGCTGAGAGGCCGGAGCCAATGAGAAGGCGCAATGTTGACGGGGTGTTAAGATGGCTGCCAGTCGGCCGCTTCCTGACCGGTGAGTATGGGTTACTGCGGGGCCGGTTCCCGGCGGGCGCGGGCTTCGACGTGACGGGTCCGGGAGGCCCCAGCAGGGCAGCTGAGGAAGCCAGCGTGGGTAGTGTCCGTTCCTCGGCCGAGCTGCCCGGAGCGGGCTAGGAAAGCTGCGGCCTGGGCCCAGGGAAGCGACAGCGGAGGTGGCCTCCGCTGTGTGGACGGGGCGTCGCGGCAGAGGGTCCGTTCGTCCGCCTCACCGCGGCCAGAGTGAGGGGGATGAGGAGGCTGCGGCCGGCGGAGACGCGCTGGCGTTTCCTTGCTGTGCCGCGGGAACCAGCTCCGGTGCGGGCGGAGCGCCGCCGTCCGAGGCGCGAGGCGGAGTCCCGCGGCTTGCGGCCGCCGCGGGCGCTGGCGCCGGGAGCCTGCGGAGCTCGGGGGTGCAGGCGGCGGCGGAGGGGTCCCTTCGCGGAGCCGCCCTCTGGCGCCCCCGGACCTTGTGAGTATGCTTAGCGGCATGGACGTCGAACGAGCCCTGAAAGGCCACTGGCGACTTGTCTTTCCGAGCAAGGTCGGGGGCCAAGCCTGCACGAAGCTGTCCAGTGGAAGCATTCCGCCTGCGTGCACGGTCCTGCCCAACGAATGGGGCGTCTGCGTGAGCAGGCCGGCAGCTGAAATCCGCGCCCGGGCCTGTGGTTCAGGTGTGCTCTCCGTAACTTGTTAACAAAAGGGAACGCATCTCCTAAAAGCAGGTGGGACATCCGCGTTCATGTTGATGTAAGATGCTTGAAAGAAAAAAAAAAATCTTTATGTAGCCAGTTCCAAATCAGAAAAACTGATTTTTGTGTAAATTATTTAACAAGATCATCAGATTGGTGAGTGATGGTTTCTGATAACTGGACAGGTGAGGTTAAGTTTAGATCAGACAAGATTCAGATTTCGGTGGTCATTTCTAACTGAATGCAGAATTTGAGAAAGAAGATAATTCAGCTTGATGAAAATGGAATTTAAGTTCTAGAATATTAAAGCCAGGAAACATTTACCCATTGAGCTAATTAGATTATGCTTTTTGGGTTTTGGTGATCAGAGGTTGCCTGGTATTCCAGAAGATATGAGATTAAATTCAAGCGCCTGAATGTCACTTTGATGCATGCAATCTAGTATAACATCTTGTATAAGTACAGACGAAAGTGTGCTTAACCAAATTTTAACAAGGCCCTCGTTACAGGCTAGAATCACTCTTCTCAAATTTTTGTCTCCAAAAATATGTTACCGCTGAAAGCTCTGCCCTCTAAAAGTGAATGATTTAAAGCCATAGAGTTCTACTTTTTTTTTTTTTTTTTTTTTAAGGATCAGTGGATGGCAATGTATTAGGCACGTCAGTTGCCTCATCCACAGAAAGGGTGTAAGGTAGTAGTTCCTAGTGCGGGTTGTCAGGAGGGTTAGTGGTGAGCCAGTGCTCTGCTCCTTTTCCTCTTTCTAGTTCCGTGTCTTACTGTGCCTGAGCTCCCCCCACCCCCACCTTGGTGTCCCGAGGTGCAGAATCTCGGCCAGCTTGCTGGCCAGACACAGACCTTATCCCCTGAGTAGGGGAGGTTCATCAGGGTTGCATCTGGCTGGGAGAGAATGGAGTGTGGCTACTCTGGGTATTTGGGCACTTAGAATATTAAGATCATCAAGAAACAGTTTAGAGCTGAGAGACATCTCACAAATCTCCTGATTAAACTTTTGTTTTGTAGCCTCTGAGTGGAGAGCCAGACAGATACAACTGCTTGTCCCTAATCCTGTTGCCCAGGACTGGAAACCATCTCCTGGCTTTCAAGACCCAGTGTCTCCTCTACCCAGGACCTCTCAGTCCTGGCGCAGCCCAGAGCCCCTTTCTTATCATTTGCTATCCCGGTGGATTCTGTACTTTGAGAGATGTGTTGACTAAACGTGTCGGTCAGTTGCCTCTCCTGTGAAAATCAGGCCACAGCTCCTAATCCGAGCCTGTGGTGAGCACGTGGAGAAGAATGCGGACTGCCTCGCCGACTTTGGGGCTCCTCAGCTAAAGGTGATGTTTCACTGGGAGGAGGAGTAAAACATGCTGGGCGTTTTGAATGTTGACATTAGTTTAGACACCATTACTGTCTTTATAGGGCTTGGTAGAGACCTTAGATTAGGAACCCTGAACTGTGCCCTGTGCTGTGCATTGTTTTCTGCCCAAGTGTGCTAAATAACGGCTATGGTTGGTTTTCCAGTGCATAAAAGAGCCTAGCTAGTGAGACTGGGATGGTACATGAATATTTCCAGTGCGTGGAGAACTCTGTGAGCCCAGGACTAAAGGTGTGTTGTGCATAGCGCTTGCAGGATGTTTCTTTAGAGCAGTTGTGGGATGGAATAAGTCCTATCTCTGGAGGTGGATGGAGGGGCTATGAGATGGAGAAGTGATATTCAAAACCAGAGAGAAAGGGGGATTCTGAATCATTTACATTTTCCTCAGAGCTAAAATGGTTACATTTGCAGTTATTTGAGTTGCAGGATGAAAAATGAAAGCTTATGAGTTACTATATCGGTTGTTAAATGCATTTGGCTATAGCTACACTTAAATATGTTAAGTTTCTATTTCTCTGGTATTCCATATCCCTTGAGAATGGCTGAGTGGATTTTCACAGTTAATGGGCAATGTGGGATTATCTGCTTTAAAATAAAGAGGTAAAAAAAAAAATTAAAAGATACAGCCTAAAAGGCATGGGTAAGAGACTTTTGGAAGAAATGGAGATTCATCCTTAAGAGCAACCGGAACAGGACTAACAAGAGGCCTGATGTGGTACCGGGGCAGAGTGTGTGACCGACGTGCGTGCTGTAGGAGACACTGCAAACAGGAACCCCAAGTGCAGTGGCCAAGCAGCCACTCGTACGTCGTGATTTACGGTTGACGGACAACTCCGTGAGTGGCAGCCGTTACCTGCTGTCATCGGCGCCTACAGAGTCGTCTTATTTCTTTCCTAAGTCACAGGAAAGTGACACATGGCTTGAGAGATTTCCAAGAAATGAGTTCAGAACAACCTTATTTGAATATTGCCTTATTTCCTGGATTTGGAAGTGGATTCCACTTTTCTCTGTAGATTATACTAGGCAGATGCTATACTGAGGACAGGTCTTCATCAGCAGAGTTAAAAGTGGATAAATTTGAGAGTCCAAAAAGCATCAGAAGTGGGTAACTGCTCGAGGCTGATGAGGAAGCCTGGGGGGCCGCGAGACAGCTCCGCAGAGGGAAGCACGTTTGGGTGCCCATTGCGTGGGCGACCGCCCTGCAGAGAGGCTGAAGCAGTGCGCAGCAGGAGACCCTTGGGGCACGTGCATCTCATGAACACTCACACCTAAGGTCTAGGCTGACTACCGACATAAATTTGCTGTGTGTGGGTATGCGTCCTTCCATGAGGCTAAGGATTTTTGTTGTATGTGCTTCTGACCGCAAGGTCTTGAAGAGTGCCTGGTACACAGCAGGCATGTAGAAGGTTCTGGGACAAGGAAGGAAACAGTGATTCCTGACGGATCCCAGCAATGCTAAAACATGCGGTTTGTTGCTGTTCTTAAGTTCTTAATGGACGATGAGCCTACAGGGATGTCAATGGCAAAGTCCTGTTGTAGTTGACTATAGTAAAGGAGTGGTTCTACTCAGAAGAGTAGAAATATTTTTGTTAATAGTATCACTTCTGTTTTCCAATATTGGCTTATTTTTACAGGATGTCCTTCATGTTGTTAGAGTATCTCAGGACTACCTCTGTTGCAACCTTTAAAATCCACAGGCCTAGTTTAGGAATGCGTCGAGGTTTTTTGGGTGCTGGAGCTTATGTAATTTTCTTTAAAGAAAAAAAAGGAATGCAAATTCTGAGTAGAAAATTAGGTTCCGAGCTTTGAAAGAAACTGTGCAGATGAGGAGCCTGGAAGCTTAAGCTCCATTATTTTAATTTGTCTCTCATTTTATTGCTCCACTCAGAAAATCAATACCAAATTTTTTTTTATAGAAACTTCATGGAAACCAAGGAAGTAAATGATTTGTGTCAATTGCTAGGTGAATGCAGCACAAATAATAGAAACTTCTAAGCTATCTTCTGAACACTGCCACCCATAATAGAAGTGAAAGCATGCGCTGTGGTCAGAGAAACAGCAAAAAGCACCTGACATTTATTAAGCCCCTTGGACCTCCTAAACACTTTCTTGCGTCGCTTACCTCATTTAATCCTCAGAAAACTCTACAAGCAATGTAATGATCCTTGAATTCAGATAAAGACGCTGCAGATCGGAGATCTGAAGTGATTTCCTCACTGGTAGTTGGTGGAGTGGTGAGATGCCAGACTCCTGAAAAAGCCAAGAGAGTAACTTGCTGAGGTTATTTCAGAGAAGCAACCGCTGATGAGGCTGAGCCAGTACCACAGAAGTAAGACCTCATTCCTTGGACCTGGCAAGGAGTCCTTAAAAGAGAACAGGAATCTGTTATTCAGCGTGGTGCAAGCCCCCTGGTGCCTTTGTCTCTGCGAGAAGGGTGATCTTTGCTCCCTGGGTTAATCACAGTGTGGGACACAACACCGAAAACACATTGCGCTCCTGTCTCACTCCTTATGGTAGTAAATCATGGGCAGGACAACCAACTTTGGATTGGATTGTAGACGTCTTTTGAAGGATATAGTGCTGGTTCAGCATGTATGCTAAAATGCACTGAGCTTTCATAATTGTAGCAGATGAGTACAACTCTCATTTCTTAAATCACTTTCATCAACTTAACAATGGTTAATTGTTCTAATAGTGAGCCCTGAACTTTTAGCATTGGTTTCTTAACTAAAGTGTTATCACTCAAAAAACAAAACAAAACAAAACAACCCAGAACCAAAGCAGTGCATGTTTGTTAAATTGTAAGTACTGTATTTTGTTTGGTATTATTTTAGCAAATAGTATAAAATTTAGAACCAAGACGTCTTTCTTACTACTATTTATGTAGCTTCAAAATATTTGAAGTAATTGTTTTCCAGCTCCTTAGAAAATAAATTCCCCTGAAAGTTCTCTGCATTCATTTGCAGTGAAACGGTCACTTTCTTTTACTCTCTGATTGATACAGCGTGAAGTGTAATATTTTAATTTTTAAATTTTCTGTAGAGTTTATTGTTAGACTGTTAACATTCTTGAGAATGTTTAACTGAATTTCACTTTTTTAGACAGTTATCTTTATTAGACAATCAAATCCTAATTTCCTTACTTATCTGTAGGTGTGTGCTCTAAAAAGCTTGTTAAACTGCTGTAAAACTTTTTTTTACTTATACAAGATTTTAAATATGTTAATATGAAAGTTTTACTCTGTTTTTAGGTTTTTTTAGAAGGAAGTTCAGGTACCTGTTTTCAAGTCATTGGTGTAATTATTAGGCTCCTGGGTGTCTTTTAATGGTTTTAAAATCATTTTCATGGCTACTCATGTAATATATATGTCTAAATTCATCTTTTTCCTGTAGAAGAAAAGATGTGGAGTGGGCTGCTGCCTCCTGGCCTAAATGAAAGTGATGTTGAGTCAAATTCTGAAGATGAAGCCATACCAGATAACTCTGGACTTAACTCCCAAGACGGTGAAGAGGATGGGACTATTAGGAACACAGAAATCTCAAATTTACCCACAGATGGACCAAAAGCTGAAACAGAGACGATTGTAAATGCATATGAGGCGTGTCCTTCTGGAATTCCCTTAAACATGTGGAATGTAGGTTTTCCCTGACGCTATCCTTATTAAAGCCTGTGTGTGTGTGTGTGTGTGTGTATGTATGTGTTTTCTTGGGATATAACAGTTAGGGAAGATGGACTCAGAATACTTTTACTATTTTATGAGTCATTGGCCACTTGGATTCTTGCTTTTAGTTTTTTCATAAAAAGAAAAAGGAAAAAAATCAGTACATATGGTTAGCTGTTTTGCCTACCATGATACATGAGGAGTTTGTATCCTCATTTTTGTCTTTGTTATCTATCTGAGTCATTGGGTATCACTCAGATTATCAAATAATTTATTTCAAAACCAATGAATAACAAAACTTAGGTTGTGAGAACTTGAAGAACAGAATCTCAAGAACTCAACCACTTTAATTAAATTGATACTTTATAAATACCAGACTATAATTTTATTGCTTAACAGATGTGTTATTTTTATTTTAGAATTTATTTATTTGAAAGGCTGAGTGACAGGCAGAGACACAGACATCTGATGGTTTATTTCCAGTGGCCCCAGCAGCCCCAGGCTGAAGTCAGGAGCCGGGAACTTCATCCTGGTCTCCCATGTGTGTGGCAGAGGCCCAAACACTTGGGCCATCTTCCACTGCCTTCACAGGTACATTAGCAGGAAGCTGGATTGAAAGCAAAGCAGCCAGGATTTGAAAATGGCAAATGGCAGCTTAACTGCTGGTCCCCATTTGTTATTTTTAAATGCATATTTTTCTGCAGTGTGTGTTTGCCTCTCAACTTTTTTTTTACTTTTACATAGAAATTTCAAGAATTGCATAAAAAACATTCTGAACAGAAAATCTCAACCTCAAAATTTAGAGGGAAAAAAAGGAAACGCTCCAGAAAAGGTATTTTGTTTTAATCCAGGTGATTAGTAGTGTTAATACTAATGTATAACTGAGTTCAGTAATTTTTTAAAAACATACTTTTGAAGTAATGGTTGAATACTGAAGTATTGACACTTTGTGAATTCTTTTCAGATAAATTGAAGAATGAAAAAGAATCTCATGGGTAGGTAGAATTTAATAGTTGTCTATCCTAGGCTATGTTATAGGACTTGTCCAAATTGTTGAGCTACTTTTTTTTGAGCTGATCAGACATGACAACTAGTATTGTAATATAATTGTAGTAACCAATTAAAATGAGTACATTTTGTGTAAAACAAAGCAAATTTAATTCTGTCTCTGCAGTGAACAGTCCTCAAATGAAACCCAGTGGAAGGAGCTTACTCAGTATTTTGGAGTCAATGATCGATTTGAACCCCCTGTTAAAAAGAAAAAAGTTGAAAAAGTAAGATCTTTTTTATTGGATCTTATGTTACCTCATAGGAGTCTTGCCTAAAGTACTTGTCCTCATCAGTTCATTCAGTTGAAAAGTTAAAATGTTGATTGTGTCTCAGAAAAGACGTGATAAGTAAATTCTTAGTTACACGTCATTTTAAAATGTTATGAAGCAAAAGAACAAACAGTTTGTTATGAAAACGTGGGAACCTTCCTTTAGTTTGGGTGCTCAGAGAAGGCCTTTCTTTTTTTCTTTTTAAGATTTTATTTATTTGAAAGGCAGAGTTACAAGGTCGGGGGGAGATCCTGATCCTCCAGCTGTTGGTTCACTCCCCAACGGCTGCAGTGGCCAGGGCCAGACTATGCCAGAGCCGGGATCCAAGAGCTTCATCCTGGTCTCCCACGTGGGTATAGTGTCCCAAACATCTGGGCCATCTTCTGCTGCCTTCTCAGGCCATTAGTAGGGAGTTGGATGGGAAGTGGAGCAGCTGGGACATGAACCGGCACCCATATGGGATGTGGGCTTTGCAGGTGGCAGCTTTAGCTGCTGTACTGCAATGGCAGCTGCCCAGAGAAGGCCTTAGGAGTCACCATCTCACTGAGAGCTGTAGGATGTGCAGAAAGCCCTGTTTGTAGAGAACGCCAGTGCAGAGTTGGTAACACGGGCAGCATCCTTGGGCAGGTTCGTTCTGCAACATTAGAGTAAGAAACCAGCCTGGCTGGAATGGAGTCAGCAGGGCAGGGGATGGGTAGGCAGGGACCAAGGTGTGAAGAAGTCAAATGGTGTAGGAAGGAAGTGAGTTTTATTCAAAGTGTATCATTATTTATTTATTCAAAGAGCATCATTAAAAGGTTTTAAGTCAAGGGAGTAGTTTGATTTATGTTTGAAAAAATCATCCCGTTATATGGGGAATGATGGCAGGTGGGACGAAAGTAGGTAAGAGAATGGATAGGAGACTGTTTTAGGCGCGAGATAGATGGTAGACCAAACAAACATGGTGCTACTGAAAATTAAGAACAATGGATGGATCTGAGGCGTAGTAGAGAAATAGAATTAGCAGTGTTTGCCTCTGGGTTGCATGTAAGGTGGTGGGGAGGGCTTGCAGCATTAAGGAGGAAGACTGAGTGTGCAGAGTTGTGCCTTGGGCAGTAGTGCGCGGCGTGATGCTGGGTTGGGAGGGGAAGATTTAGAGTGGAGCCTGTCTGCATTTTGTTTTGGAGCATGGGTGTGTTGCCTGGAGAACAGGTTCAGAGTGGGTGGCTGGTGTAATGAGATAGGGGCTCAGGGTGAGTGTGAGCTTGGCACTTGTGGACCTGGGGAGCTCTCCGTCTGTAGAACTCAGTAAAGGCTGCAGTGCATGGACAGTGTCCACGGTTTCCGGGAACCTGGAAATCAGATGCGAGTGGTCTGGCAAGGGTGCAGGGGCTAGGTGAAGCCCAGTGTATCGTATTCTGTGTGTGGAGGGACACTCCTTGACTCATAGTTCGTTGTGTGTATTTAGAAACCTTTGCTGTGTTCTAATCAGTTGCTATTTCTCACAAGAAACCTTTCCTTTTAAATTCTTCTTGGGATGGATGCTGTCACAACAAAATTCTGTATGTAAATTTTTTTATTTCAATTTTGCAAAGAATTCTTGCCCAGAAATAGTCCCTAGAACACTGAGGAATTGGAAGCAGGATCACTTTCTGTGGCAGCTAGTCCCTGCTGTGGAGCAGTCTCCTTCCTGCACATGTCCAAGGGGGGCAGTTCCTACAAAGAAAGGTCACTGGTAAAGCTGGAATGAAAACTCTGGTTTCAGGACCACAATCTGGGTTTCCTGGCCGCGCTGCAGAAGGGGTGGTAGCCATTTGAAAGTGTGATTGCCGTGTTCCCTTTGCAGTTCTGGTGGGCTGAGAGGAGGGGCCCGGCCGCGGGAGTGGCTGCGCTTGTCTGTCCAGTCCGCTCTAAACCACCAGGGAGTCGACGCTGCGTCCCCTGTGCCTTCTCCAGCAGACCTGCTGTAGGGTCGCAGCCACTGTCCAGGTTACTCTCTCCCAGAGTGAGTGGTTGAATAGTGGTTCTGTAGGAGGTATTTGTAAACTTTTACTTGTGAGTGAGATAGTTTTTGGTTTTCAGCTGTTTGCAGAATGTGTATGTTTTCTTATAACATTGTTGACTTTAGACTGTCTCAGTTGTTTCTTAGTGAAATCAAAGCCATGAAATGAACATTTTAGCCTTTCTAAGGAGAATTGAATTTTGTACCATGTGTCTTTGTTAGAATTTCAATATTACTGAACTTATGAAACTGTATCTTCTTGATACTGGTTAAGTATGGGTAACTTCTTCATTGTCTAGAACTTGGAATTTGTGTGGAGTTAATTTAATATAGGATGCTAGGATTCTTTGTGCATAATCTTTTAAAGCAACTCCTTTTAGGAGCCAGTGTTCTGTTTCACATTATGCATTTGATGTATTCTAGAATAAAATTTTAAGTCTTAAGCAACATTTTAAAAAGAGATCTTTGTTTAAGGGAAAATGTAAGACCTCTTTTAAGTTCTTTTGTAATCACCCCTGATGTATGTTATGAGATCTATGTTATGAAAACTATGTTTTCCTAACAGTAGTTGTTCCTGTCTTTAAATGGTACCTGGATAAGAAGTTGTGGCTGTTTCTGAACAAGGAAACCGATGCTGGCCAGGCTTCTATCTGTCCAGAGTTTTGCCAGCACTTAATATTCAACAAATGAATGCAAGCGAAGAGGGAAGGGGGGATTTAGTGGAGCCCGATTATTTCTTCTCGTGAAGTTCCGTGTAATTGCTTGCTCCAGGTTCATTCCTTTTTCTGGGATCACCCTTTTTTGCTGTTGTGGTAAAGTCCCTACTGTGAATCCACAGTGAATAAACTTCGAAGAATGTCCACATTCGAGGCACAAGGATAAAAGCTAAGAGTAGGTATTGAGTCCAGCAGATAGTAGCCCCTGCCCTCACCATCTAGAGAGGATCATGAAATTTTGTGGATTTTCAGTCCGTTATCTTACTTATCTGGCGCAGAGGCAGGTCTGCTCCCTTGTCTCTCTACCAGAGCCGTTTTATTTTGTATTCATGCAGCCCTCAAGAATGGTAAAACAAAGCAAACTTCTTAATCTTGTCTGTTGTGCAGTCTTTTTGTTTGGAAAGCTGCCAAGAATGTCTGTTTACAGCACTGCTGTCGCTGGCTTCCAGAGCACACTGAGAGACTTGTGTTTTTAAATATAGTCATCGTAATATCCAAAGCTGGTTTTATGTTCTTTGTATTAAATATAGCTATAATACTGTGTTTCTGGCAGCAGTTCTGGGACTTACTAATAATTCTGAGATCATAAAATAATTATCTTGAATCTATGTGGGAATTTATTTAGAATAGATTTTTTAAAAAGATTTATTTATTTATTTGAAAGGCAGAGTTACACAGAGAGAAGGAAAGGCAGAGAGAGCGAGAGCTCTTCTATCTGTTGGTTCGCCCCCCAACTGGCCGCAACGGCCAGAGCTGTGCCAGTCTGAAGCCAGGAGCCAGGAGCTTCTGCTGGGTCTCCCATGCGGGTGCAGGAGCCCACAGACTTGGGCCATCTTCTACTGCTTTCCCAGGCCACGGCAGAGATCTGGATTGGAAGTGGAGCAGCTGGGACTCAAACCGGCGTCCATATGGGATGCTGGCACTGCAGATGGCGGCTTTACCCACTATGCCACAGTGCTGGCTCCTAGAATAAATTTTACTGATTAACTTCACTAAATGTCTCAAGTGTTCTTTAGTTGAATCAATTTGATTAGTCAGTAGTCATTATTGAAGTAGTTTTATGCTTACCTACTAGATGCTTTTTGAATTGAAAAACTAGCTGTACTTTCATTAATTTTTAGAGTAATTGTACAGTGTCTGGTGGTTTTTAAAAGTTGTTGGTGAGAGGAAACTGCTGTTGTATTGTGTGGCTTTTTTGTAGCAGAGTGCTTTTTGCAACCACTCCAATACATGTTTAAGTAAAGTGCTGGCTGCCTTGTATACAGGAGGTGTACGGGTGTGCTATTGGGAAGGAGGCATTGGTCGGGGGAGGCTTCTGGTGGTCCTGGGAATTTTCCCTAGTGTCAGTTACGAAGTGTTCTCCTTGGATCCCCAAGTAATCCATGTGGGTGGGTGGGGTGGGCCACTAGTGTTCTCATGATACAGACGAAAGAACTGAAGCTGAGCACAATTTGTCCAGACAGACAGCAGCTCAGCAGTGAAATGACACTGTGAGCCTAAGTCATTTGCTTCCAAAGGTAGATGTTTCTCAGTAGCTGAACTTGGTTTCTTACATACTGGGCTTAAATGATCTAAGTGGATGAGACTTGCATAGGTATGGAGGTGACAGATCATAAATTAATATATGAGTTAGTACATAAGAGTAGTTCCCCCCTTCTTTATGGAGAAATTGCAGCCTTTTTACCCCTATTTTGTCCTGTCACAGTAAAGAAAGCTTCAGTGGATAATTCATTTGTATTAAGATTTAAACATTGATTGTGTTATCTAAGTAAAAGGTGTAGTAGCAGAACTTCTGTCGTATTGGCTTAAAGGCCTTTAATCAATGATTTTTTTTTTTAATTTGTAGGTAATAGTACTTTTTTTAACAGCAGTTTTTTTTTGTTTTGTTTTAAGATTTATTTATGTATTTGAAAGAGTTATACAGAGAGAGGAGAGACAGAGAAAGAAAGAGATAGAGAGGTCTTCCATCTGATGGTTCACTCTACAATTGGCTGCAATGGCTGGAGCTGCGCTGATCTGAAGCCAGGAACCAGGAACTTTTTCTGGGTCTCCCACGTGGGTGCAGGGGCCCAAGGAATTGAGCCATCTTCTACTGCTTTCCTGGGCCATAGCAGAGAGCTGGATCGGAAGTGGAGCAGCTGGGTCTCAAACGGGCGCCCATATGGGATGCCAGCACTTCAGGCCAGGGTGTTAACTTGTACCACAGCGCTGGCCCCAATGAATGTATTGTTAAAAGATATTCTGTATGTATACACATG